ATCAGTTAGTATCACTGTACAAGAATGTGTGATTTATCAAAATAAAGTCTTATCCATAATGGAGTTATACTGTACCATCACAGCGCCCAAGTTTTATACTCGTGTCAATAAAATTTTTTTTTCCTTCACCTTCCCAGTGAAACATAGGGCCTCAAGCTAGTGACTTGAAGTTTCTGTAGCAGTTTTTAATTTTACAAGATGAGGTTGCCAGCCTCATGCCAAATCTTTCCTCTTTAACAGTCTCATTACTAGTTTAGCGAGGTAAAGGAGTGCTCCAGCGGCCAGAGATCGAACCCTGGACCATGTGCATTGAGACTGAGAATCAAGGATAACACCACCTGACAATGCCCTTGATTATAAAATCAGATAAGAATCACTAAGTCAGGCTGACTGTCGACAATAAATTTGTCTCTGTGCACACACAAAAGAGGTGGGGAAACCTAGTGTTACCGATGTCTATATTCTAGAAGAAATGTTGATTCTTACAGGAGAATACACCAAGCATAGTGTCAATCATCATGCTTACTAGACTTCAGTCGCTTTAACGTTCTATTAGTTGAATTTTACCGGACTGTTCAAAATTCATTTGTGCCGCTTCATCACATTTTTCAGACAATAAACTTCAACGTATTTTAGTAAGCCTATTCAAATAAATAAATATTCACATAATAATTATTTTAGAAGAAAAAGACTTTAGATAATTATTAGGCTGTTAAAAAAAATTCGTAAATGTACAGCATCATGTGAAAGATGTGACAAAAAAGGCCTATTACATAATTTTAAACTTCTGAGGACAATTAAAACGTGACGAATTATTTGAACAATCCGCCAGTCATCCTAAATTAAAAGCATGGCAAAAAGCTAAGAAGAATTTTCGCCCTTTTTCAAAATGCTTTCAATTTTGAAAAACCTACAAAACTAAGAGTAGTAATAATAAATAAAGATTCATTAAAATGATCGGTTGGAAAAACAGCATACCGAATAATGAAAAAGTATCATAGGGAAGTAACAGAAATCTAAATCTTGTCAATCGTTCAGTCAACTGAGAACTGTAACAACATAACGGAAGTTTCATTGAAGTTGTTTAAGATTCATATATATATATATATTACACAATGTAACAGTATTATTTACTGAAGTTCTGAACACAATTTATTGCAATGCATAATTATATCATTATTTGTAAACCTAAAAATTCAACAATTTCGTTTAATAGTCTTCTTTATTCCTTCTTGTTCGTCACAGGGGTAGTACAATTTCCCAGGTGTCCATTCCTGATATCGAATCTTCTCTACAACATGTATTTTTCAGTTAATCCGACCATTAAAGTCTCTTTATATAGTAAAGGTTATTTTATATTTCTCAATGAAAGAAAAACAAAACTTTATTGTAATGTTTACTAACGTTTCACTACTTAATACTGTTAATAGCTTTATCAAAGTATTATTAATAAACCAGAATTTACAAAATCTCAGTTTACATATAGTAACTTAATCAGTGTCCATCAGTATGGGGTCATTTTAGCGTCGTCAGGGTAGCCAATTGATAAGGATAACAAAACAAGGTGTGGATTGTTGGATTTGATAAGTTTATAAAATTAAAAAATCAGCTTGTGTTAACCAAATGAAGCTGCTTATCAGATTCGTATTGATGCAGTATGGATGCAATATTGTAGTACAATGCTGAGAATTCCATTCTGTATCACAAGTACTGTTTTGGAATAGAGCTATTATCTTATCTTGATTTTGTCACTTAATAAGAAGGGGGGTGTTTTAGCGAGGTCATATTCTTGTTTATATTATCATTTCCATTCACTTCACACGTATTGGATCCCATTTGATATGAAGTGCTTCTGATGATGTTAGACGTTCTTTGTGATTTCTGAAATGATTTTTCTGGATGATGATTTCAAAATTGTCAATATTGTGGCTTGAATCTATAGCGTGTAGACAAGCTATGACTGGCTGATGATTTTTCAAGCCTTTCTAGTTCACCTGGATTTCTCGGTGGTCGAAAAGATGTGGTTATACGGTGTTCATTTCTTCTGATTTTGATTTCTCTCTAACGATGTGTATCCGATGTATATCGCATCACATTCCAAATATTTTATTTTATAGACACAATTAGATAGATAATCTTTCGGGATTTGGTCTTTTATATGGACAAGTTTGCCTTGCAGTGTATCTGATGTTTTGAAGATGGCTCTGATATCGAGCCTATTGAGTACTCTTTTGATGTCCTCTGACGTCTCTGATCTATACGGAATGACAACTGTCGACCATACTTAATGTCAATGTTGACTTCGGTGAATAAAGTCTTTGGGTAGTTGTTGTGTTTGAGAGTCTCACAAGTGTTTGGCATTTCTTCTTCTTTTTCGTTCTCATCCGTCAACATAAAACAGTGTGCTCGTCTAAGAAGACTTGAAACAACTGCTGATACCTTTGTGCTGATGGGGTGTGATGGTCTGAAGTCTAGATTTTTGTTGCAGTGGGTTTTATTCCCGAATATAGACATTCCAAAATATCCATTTTTCCTCCTCTTAACTCAGCAGTCTAAAAATCGTGGTTGACCAACGCCTGATTCTGCTTTCGAAAGAAACTGAATTCTGGGAGGTACACGGTTTATTTTTCCCAGGAATCAAGTGTGTAGGTCTCGTTTTAGCACTGCAAAAGTATCATCTACATATCTTAACCATAGTTTAGGAGTGAGCATGCTTGAAAAGATTTCATCTTCGAATCTATTCATGAAAAGATCAGCGACTATTGGGGAAACAGGTGAAGCCTATTTTGTCACCGTCTTCCTTCGCTCTGTTATATAATCATATGTTTATTCTGGGCAGTATTCATATAATGTTTAGAACTTTCAGTAAAGTTTATGGCCTGATATTTCCCTCAATACAATATCTTCAAGTGAAATATTATTTAACTGTAAATCCTTTGAGAAAATGCTTTTTGAGCTCTCTGCTTTATCCCCTTCAATAAATCCATGATACCTTGTTGCAAGCGACTTGTAAGATGTTCAGAAGTACATGCTGAAACCCAAGAACATAACTGAAGAACAGTTATATCATGCATTGAAACACGCTGCTACCCACAATCATGCCTTTCCTCAAGTTTAATAGGAACTAGGAAATCAGAGGCTTATAAGCATTTTAAATACACACAAGTGTAGATAATGCCGATAGAGGTCATATATTAATCGATTAAAACAAACCGAAAGATAGAAAATATATGCAATAGACAGATATAAGTTTCTGGTAGCCGAAGATCTAAACAGGCTGCCACTGTCACACACTTAAATCAGATTTCAGAACTGTCATCTTATGTCATCCTATTGGATGACTGTTTGTAATTGCATGTTTTGCTATAGTTGAACTGTTTTCAGGATTTCTTATCCTAGTAGTGTCGAATAACCTAGATTTTGCTAGTTTTGTGCTCAGCTAGACCGACTGACCACTTTCTACCACCTTAATATATATATATATATATATATATATATATATATATATATATATATATATATATATATATATATATATATATATATATATGAGAGCAACTAAGTGGCTGAAAAGTATCTTTGAACTGATAAAGCTTTTAACTTATTGTGTTGGTTTGAATGTCATTGTTAAGAATGCTAAGCAAGTTCTCCACGGTATCTTCTCTACAAAGAAGTATCAATGAAAACAAAACACGTAGATCAGCGAAGAGACACTTTTCAGCGAATTCATTTTCTTAGCTGTGCAATCGCAAATATATATGTGTTCTTTTATATGTGTGTGTACATTAAGTTCGTCAAAAAAATTACAATTGGTTAATTTTACTTTTAACTAAACAGGTGAAGGTTGGTAATACAAGTCAAGATATTTTGATGTGGTTTTGTTCTCTGAGCTGGATGGTTAATTTGCGAAGCTTCCATCACCCGACTGGGTGACATCTTCAGCGCATACTTCAATTTGAAGTGAGCTTTTAGATTTCTCCACGAGTTTATTAATCATCTGTCCTGGTGACCTTGGACGTGATTGGTTGTTTATGTGTGTTTTCACACCTTCTAGGTGACTACTTGTATTGGAACTGATTGTTTCTTTGACTTGAACTTTGACCCTTTCTGTGTGTGTGAGGTTTCTTTCTTATCAGTTGATAAATTTTTTCTATGTCGATGTGTATATCGATTGATGGTTCACTGGAATACCAAGTGGGCTTCTAAACATTCTCCGGCATTCTTTTTGTTTCCTCTCTCTAATATGTGAAAGCTGTTCGTCCCAGTCGAATTGATCTCAATGGCTGTCCGTTTGTAGTGATATGAACGGGGGAGTGGATATCATGTCTTTCGACGGCTAGCGTATGTTCATGTATACGAAGACAAAGGGGACGTCTTCCACTTTGGCCAATGTTGCGTTTTTCGCAGTTGTTACAGTTTATTTTGTAGATGATGTTGGTTTCATCTTCTTTCGTTGTTGAGTCTTTTGTTTGACACTGTTGCCAACCTGACCTACTCTGAATTCTACTCAACTGTATTACGTTATCCAAATCACTTAATCATTTTTATTTTATTTTCTATCTTAACGTTTGTCTCCAAGCCAAATAATACTTACATTACATAATTATCTAAACTTTATAAATCTAATGTACACACACACGCAAATAAAATTGTATATATATGCGATTGTACAGCTCAGTGAATGAATTCGCCGAAAAGAGTCTCTTCGCTGAACGCCTTCTTTTATTTTATATGAATGTTTGTTGTTGTTGACACATATGAATACGAACAATAAACTGTTTTCAAAACGTCATGCAATAAATAATACAGTTTCGCTGAATGGTATATCGAAAAAAACTAATTAATACAAAATCACATACAACCTTAGTGCCCCAGTTTTACATATATACGTATATATATAAGAGTGTATACCTGAGGCACAATGTTCCTCAACCACAGCTTAATATACTACTTAAATACACACATATATAAACATATTTTCTGATTTTTATTTTTTACAGGCCAAGTAGGAAATATTATTACTACAAGAAATGCTGATCGAATTGAATTTGAAAAAATCTTGGTAAGTTTTTGTTTTTAAACAAATTGCTGCTAGCATGCATTAAAAAACAAGGATATATAAAAGTTTTTGATGTGGTTGTGTTCTCTAAGCTGGATAGTAAATTTGTGAAGCTCTCATCCCCAACTACTAGGTGGCATCTTCAGCGCATACTTCAATTCGTTGAAGTGAGCTTTTAGATTTCTCAACGAGTTTATTAATCATCTCTCCCGGTGACCACCTTCAACGTGATTGGTTGTTTTCGTGTGTTTTCACACCTTCTAGGGCAACTACTTGTATTGGAACTGACTGTTTCTTTGACTTGAACTTTGACCCTTTCTGTGTGTGTGGAGTTTCTTTCTTATCGGTTGATAAATGTTGTCGATCTCGATGTGTCTATTGATTGATGATTCACTGGAATACCAGACAGGCCTCTAGAAATTCTTTATCATTCTTGTTGTTTCCTCTGTCTAATATTTGAATGTCGGTTTGGTTGTCCCAGTCGAATTGATGTCCGTGGTTGTCTGTATGTAGTGAAATGAGTGATGGAGTGGATATCATGTCTTTTGACGGCTAGCATATGTTCGTGGATACGAAGACGGAGAGGAAGGGACGTCCACTTTGGCCAGTGTGGTGGTTTTTGCAGTTGCTACAGTTCATTTTGTAGATGATGTTGGCTTCATCTTCTTTCGTTGTTGAGTCTTTTGTTTGACATAAAATTGTTGGTTTGTGTACGACGTCAATTCCTAAAGGTTTGAAGAGTCTTGCTTGCAGTGATTTCTGAGATATCCTTTATATATGGTAAAGCGCCAGCTCAGAGAACACAACCACATCAAAATCATCCACCTGAGCTACAAATCTTCTCTATCACATATAAATGTTTATACCAAAAAAAAAAATAAATAAATGCAATTAATTCCTACCAAATAGTGGTGAAACCTTCTAATTAATTTATATATCCTGAATTAAATTATATATATATATATATTTAAACAAATGCTGTCGGAAATAAGATGGACACATTCATTTATTCTACAAGGTTATTCTTTTTACCGACAGATTAAGCGAAATAATTATTATATTTATTGTACTTCGGAAGCTTGTCAACACCGGAAGACAAGGCATAAACTATTTGTACTAATCAGTTATTAAAATATATTCATCCTTGGCAATAATTAACGGCCTTAAAATTAGAATAACGTACATTTATTTAATGTGTTTAACTAAAGACTTTATTTTAATGTAATTATTAAGTTTACAAATTCGTAGATTTATTTATCATGACATGTGATTAGTGAAGTACAGTCCAGTATGCAGTAGAAAATTATCATTATTATTATAGTTATTATTGTTTCCTTAGGTTCTTATTAGAACATAAGGATTCCGCTGCATGTCTCCGCTGGATCCCGTCCCCCACTAACCTTCTCACCTGGCTCCACGTCTGCCCACATGCTTTCATCTCCTCTTCGCATGACCTCCTCCATGTTGCCTAAACCTCAGCAATGACAATCTATTCACACAATTTGTTCCTGGTTAGTTCGCTCCCACAGATCCCTGTCACTACTCTTTTCTGGCCATCTGATCGTGAGTGGTTTAGGAGAAGATAGCTATTGATGAAAGTGTGTAGTTTGTTCAAAGTGCCCTTTGTTATGCAGTGCGGCGTCAAGTCTCTGATTCGTATAGTGAGTAGCACCGACTTCACACTAGAGTCGAAAACACAGATTTTATTTTTCATACTGAGTGCTGTTGATCTTCACACAGACTTGGGAGTAATGAAACCTTCCCTTGATTTCCCGATCCTCGCTTGATGATATCCTCATCAGTTCCGTCCTCCTGTAGTTGGAATGATACTTCCCAGGTATGTAGGTAGGTAGGTAGATGAAGAAGGTTGCTTCTTTCAGATTTCTCCCATTTGTTCTGGCTGAATGTTGTCTGTTGTTGTTGTTGCTGTTGGCCAGGAATCGTCATCACCTCTGTTTTCTCTATTTCTACCTAAAGTCCAATCTTTCATGCTTCTTATGTTGACTTGTTGTTTCTCGCTTGAATATCTTCCAGTTTGTGGGAAATCAGACATATATATATCATCGGCGAAGTCTAGAATCTCCAAATTCTTGTTTTGTGTGGGTCCGTTTTATGCCTGTCTCCTCGTGTGACGGAGTAGGAAATGGTTTGAGTATTTTGACAACGTAAAAACTGGTAATAGTTTTATCCGGGTTTTGGTGTTCACAGTGATGCTGATATCAACCGTCGACTTACGTCACTAAACAGGAGACTGTCAATAAGTTGTTATAGCTATTAATAGACTTCATAATTTGCAATAACGAACTTCCTATCTGCTCATTTCGAATCATTATTGACAACGACAACAACAACACGATGTTATACCACCGAACTCTGAACGTAAGAAGAATCAACAGTGAATGAGGTTGATAGCAGTTGCGCGCATATATATATATATTATATATATATATATATCCTTTAGATGGTTTTGAGAGACATTAATTGCATTGATAAGTTAAAACAGCCAACAACCATTAGGATACCAGGGGCAAAGTTGGCGTGAAATAAAAACACTTTCGAATGAATATCTACCTGTAAAAATTGACAAGTTGGAAGATTTGACAGCAGAGACGGAGCTCCAGGTGATGAAGATAACTAATCAACTTTAAAACGAGCACGAATCATTATTACTAGAAGAAGTAGCATCTAAAGATAGACACCATGTTCACTACTCTCAACTACAAGCAGTCATCACATATGAGGATATCAAACCATTTCAGATAGTATCAGAGAAGCAAGAAAGACATTCATTACCATGATGTCACTATAGAAATTCACTATGCAGTTCATAAGAAACAGCCTTGTTAACTGAAACACTGACGTGATCGTTAACAGACAGATCATCAATAACAGCCCTTGCTCTTTGTATACTCAAAATAATATGCCCAACTGAAGGGAATCAAAAAAAACCAAGGAAATCTGGCAACACAACGAACTTATTACCTAAAAAATATTTAGGAGTATATAAGGAAAGATTGGCCACCCGGTGGCTGGACCTTCAACTACAACATGAAGTGGAAACGACGAGTTCGGTATCCATGCGAGGAATGACATGGAGGAGACTCTGTGAGTGGGAATCAAAGTCAACTGGAAATCAGTAAGACAATTTATAATTCAGGGAAAACATACATCCAGACATGAATACATAAACAACAAAGTTTAGCGAAGAGTCTCTCTTCTCGGTGTCAAATTCATATGTTTGTCTATACAATCGCATTTATATTTAACTATTTTGTGTATGTATGCACATTAGCAGTGTCAAAAATAAATAAAATAATTTTCAGTCATTGGTTTTGTAGGGATTTTGTTTTGATTGCATGGAGGAAATCGTCATGAGCTGACATCAGTCAGAGAACCACTGGGAAATCTGGGAGTACTAGGCAGCTGTTTCGTCCTAGTTTTGGACTCTTCATCAGTAAGCACCCACTAGGGTGGAACCCGGGACCTTCTGGTTACAAGGCAAACTCGTAGACCATTGAAACCAGTTAGGGTTACTGTTTACGTCATCAAAATGTTTCTAAAATGTGATGGATAGTAAAAATTGTCACTACGGGAGGGGGTGAAGATTGATAGGCATTGACAGAGGTTGAGTAATATGAAATAGGGTAGATACGGAGACACGATTCCAACAAATAAATTACGTAATAGGTAGAAGGAGTAAATAAAAGAGCTGTCAGATAAGATGTCGCTAACATGCCATACAAAATTCAAAAAACGTAAAACAAAACATTATTTAACAAATTCGTAGAACTTGTAGCTATACCCAAGGCAGAAGGAGGGGGTTGGAGAAGTTTCTTATGTGTGCATAAATAAGGGTCTTCTTTTTAGGATTGCTAAGGTCTTGGTAATGCAAAGTAAGTAGGCGGTAGCTTACTGTTTTTGGGGAAGGCTTATTCTGAATTTGCAGATGACTTTGAGTGAATTCTCTGTGCATATTGAGTGACCAGTGTTGACTATATGTTCAATTATATAGCACTCTTTATTGATCCACAATTAACTTTTCGTAGCCAAGCGGGATAATGTTCTTGGACTCTTTCGGATTAAACACGCATCAAACGACCAATATATCCTGCTCCACATCAGCAAGTAAAATGGTAGACATATACAGAAGTGGTCAAATGAGATCGTTTATCTTTACGACTGCTGAAGACCAATCATAGTACAGTAGCAGCGAATCTTCTTTTCAAAGCGTTAGATATTCTTCATTTTAAGATGTTGACCAGAAGGTCGCATTTCAATGCGACATTCATGTATAGCATCTTCGGCAAAGAGATGACGTGTTATTTGTTGATTTTGGACCTTATCTGTTTATCTATAAACCGTGTTGGATAGCCATTCTTAATATAGTGTCTTCCTGAACAGAGTGATTATTCTCCTACTGATTCAGGACCGCATATTTAGCGGATTCCAGTCGCAAAGATATTATCCGCTTGATTAGCACCAAAGTGTAAAGGTTTGTGCCGCTGAAGTTCAAAGTTTCACTTAGAACCCATTGAAATTGTCTGTCTATCTGTCTGTTTTCGACATAGAACCTTGCATATTTGTGCGGCAGTTCAAGTCACCACACTCCCTCCATGTACCACACAAAGCAACAGAAGAAAGTAGAAGAAATGCATAATGAGGACAGTAAACAGAGGTGTAAGACAAAGGAATAGTAATAACGAAGAACAATATAGTTTCATTGGAAATCATAGTCACAAGGAGTGGATGCATCTGCGCCATTGAGAACGATCACTTTCAGCCATATCACCAATTGTTCCCAGCCACTGCTTTTACCGTCCCGAGGACCCCAACCAGGAAGCCAGTCTACACCTTCCTATATGACTGGCTTAAACTAACTGTTGTGGATTTCATTGAATGGTGTCATGTTTTGGTTTGACCGCCACGTGCTAGTTCTTTTCCAGCCTGACCCCATGTCAGCTAACATTTGATGTTGTCAAGGAAGGCGATGACTAGGCATACGT